TTTCGTGCGTAAGGGTTGCGATTGACAACTCAAAGTCGCAATTTTTCCTCAGTTTTTGACGTCCAACGTCCATTTCGTGCGAAAGGGTTGCGCGCGACGCTTCAAAGTCGCAACTTTTCCTCAGTTTTTGGCGTCCAACGTCCATTTCGTGCGAAAGGGTTGCGATGGACAAAGTAAAATCGCAATTTTACCTCAGTTTTTGGCGTCCAACGTCCATTTCGTGCGAAAGGTTTGCGTTTCGTGGCGCTCCGGCGGCACCGCCCCCGCCTTAAGAGAGAATAGAAGAAGAGCGAGAGGAGATCTGCAGATGTGAAGGTGTGAAGATCTAGATCTGCAGGTGTGAAGGTGAGAAGATGTAGATCTGCAGGTGTGAGGGTGTGAAGATCTAGATCTGCAGATGTGAGGGTGTGAAGATCTAGATCTGCAGATGTGAAGGTGTGAAGATCTAGATCGGCAGATGTGAGGGTGTGAAGATCTAGATCTGCAGATGTGAGGGTGTGAAGATCTAGATCTGCAGATGTGAAGGTGTGAAGATCTAGATCGGCAGATGTGAGGGTGTGAAGATGTAGATCGGCAGATGTGAGGGTGTGAAGATCTAGATCTGCAGGTGTGAGGGTGTGAAGATCTAGATCTGCAGGTGTGAGGGTATGAAGATCTAGATCTGCAGATGTGAGGGTGTGAAGATCTAGATCTGCAGATGTGAAGGTGTGAAGATCTAGATCGGCAGATGTGAGGGTGTGAAGATCTAGATCGGCAGATGTGAGGGTGTGAAGATGTAGATCTGCAGATGTGAGGGTGTGAAGATCTAGATCTGCAGGTGTGAGGGTGTGAAGATCCAGATCTGCAGGTGTGAGGGTGTGAAGATCTAGATCCGCAGATGTGAAGGAGTGAAGATCTAGATCAGCAGATGTGAAGGAGTGAAGATCTAGATCAGCAGATGTGAAGGAGTGAAGATCTAGATCGCAGATGTGAAGGAGTGAAGATCTAGATCCGCAGATGTGAAGGAGTGAAGATCTAGATCGCAGGTGTGAGGTGAAGATCTAGATCAGCAGATGTGAAGGAGTGAAGATCTAGATCAGCAGATGTGAAGGAGTGAAGATCTAGTATAACGGCTGCTTTTTTACGAAGAACCCTTCGCAGGCGCTCTCGGGAAAAAAGGCGCCGGAAACAAGGCAGCACAGGCAAGACAAGCCAAGACAAGCCAACACAAGCCAAGGGCAGCCTCCGAGGTCAGATGACCTGCAGTGAGTCCGGCTGGTGTCTAGCTGAAGCTGTCGACGTCAGCCTTGGTGATCAAGTAAAAGTTTGAATTTCCCTGGAGATACCATCGCAAGGGGAATATCCGATTCCTCATCTGGATCCTCCTCTTCTAGCAGCAATTCTGCCTAGTTGGTGAAAAGGGTGCTGGGACTGTGTGTAGCGATAGGGGGCCTTATGAAGCGATGCCATGACCTCACCACATGAATTGAGTTTTGACCGTCGCACATATAATCCCCATATAGTTCCATATTTTTCACAGGGCTTCAAACCACCAACCATTTTTCACAAATCCACTGACCAGCAGCGGCCGGTTTTTCGCGACGGAGGCGATGTGCAGCAAATCCAATCCTCGCTGAGCGCCTTCGCAGCCGTTCGCCGCGATGGTTCCGTGATCACCTGGGGGGATGCCGTACGCGGTGGCGACAGCAGCCAAGTGTTTCGACGGCGGTCGGCTGGTTTCCCGGGAAAATGGAAAGGTTCGCCGTTTTAAAAACGGTGATTTAACCATCAAGGATCTTGATCTAACATGATCTAACCAAGAAAATTGATTTAAGAAAACTGGGAGGTTTCCAGATTTGATGTGCTTTGGACTGGAGTTTGGAGATAAAGATGCGCCATTCATGCATAAGTCATTTCAAAATGTGTCTGGGTTCAGGATACTTACGTGCGATGCGAGGTTAAGTAGTTCAACACATTGCATGACGATTCAACTTGTACGGTGATTCAGTGCAGCCCTACTAGCTGTATACCATTGTATACCTATTTATGATATATATACATATATATATATACCAATGTTTTGGTTGGGTTGAAGTAATTACAAGATGGTTGCTCTCGTTAAACAGTTTTAATTCGAGATATTTTCCAGAAACCCACCACTTTGTCTAATTACATCTACCAACTTAGCGATTGGGCCCACTCAGCCACCACCTGTAGGGGGGGCCAGGTGCAATCCGATTTGCGAGATGTGCAGCAAATTCAGGCAGAAAGGGTGAAGGGTATCATTGGGATCATCTTGGGCCACCATGGATTCAAAGAAGATATGGAAACTAGGTGGAGATAGAAGTTAATGTTGGCAATGTTGGTGGTTATAGAAGTTATAGGCCAATGTTTAAGCAACAAAAATATATCGAATTTTGGATTGGTGGTTATAGCTATCCAGTGGTTAGGAAGGAGCGACTCGGAGCTAGGCGTATTCATATTCCAAAGCCATGGGGAGCCAGTTGGAGCTGCGAAATGAGCTTCCTATCCATAATTTAGGTTGGCCAATGTTTTCTTGAAAGCCTTAAAGCCTCAACTGGTGGGTGGTTTGGAACCATGGAATTCCATATCTTGGGAAGAATCATCATCCCAACTGACTTTCACTCCATTATTTTTCAGAGGGGTAGGTATACCACCAACCAGTTAAAGACATATTTGTTCAGCCAACTCCGACTCCAAGCAAATAGACTGAATAAACCCACAAGTCCATTCAGGTTGATAAAGGTGCTTAACCATGCCCCATATTTCAGTTTTTAATTTCAATTTTAAAACAAAACAATCACATCCACTGTTTTGATCCATTGTGTTCGCCATTTTGTGTTTTTCATAGGGGCACCTACCACACTATTTTTGGCTACAGCAATGACAGCAATCCAATAATCCCAAAATACAGAGTACAATTGAACACCTGGAATTTATGATGAACACATCATCGATCTGGGTAAATTATAACGACAACTTCACTGTTCTCCCCTTACTGAAATGATGCTTAGTAGGGACACTTATCCCCAAATATGTCCTTAAAATGGCATCAAACTTCGGGTTAGTGAATTATTATAGTTTACCGTACTTTACCCATATATATATATATATATACATATACATATACACAGTATATATGTATATATAATATACATAGCCAAACATGATATTCTATTATAGTCCATGATATTCCATTATATTATAATAGTATACCCATGATCTATCCTACGTTTTCTTGGTTGTCATCTGGCGGGAGTCATGGCGACCCCTCATTTCTGTAGGCCTCTGGTGCTGCCTTCGCAGCGCTCCGTGGCGATGGCAAGGCACTTCGCTTGTGATTTAACCCAGAAAAAATATGGTGATTCAATGGGCTTTTAATGGGTTAAATTTAATGGGTTCAGTTATCATCACCATATTTTAGGTTAAAAATACTTAGCTATTGCTATCTATAGCTGATTTCTGATAGCTAAGTTGCATTTGTTTGGTGATATGGAGTTTTTTTTAAGATAGGGTACCCCAAAATGCAGGGTTTATTATTAAGATTGATGATTTGGGGGTACCCCCCCTTTCAGGAAACCAGTTGGGGAACCCATCAGCTATCGAGATATACATATATATGTATATACACAAAGTGGGGCCCCCAAGACCATAGGAAACCATAGGAAAATGTGAATTTAATGGTGTTTTTAGCTGATTTATGATAGCTAAGTTGGGCCAAATAACTACAATTTCACTAGGGTTTCTGGTAGTTAGTTGCCGAACTAGTTAGATTGGGTTATAAACCAACATTCACATAACTGGGGGGGGCCACTATATATATATATATATACACATACATACATCATAAACCATGATTAACATGGGTAAACCATTTTTTGTTGACCTTCCCGGCATACACTGTACGATAATCAGCTGCAAATTTATTGTGAAATCATGAGTCCCGGGTTGGCGCCGGTGCAGGTGGAGACTTGGCCGTTTGCCAAGGACTACCCTCTGGTGATTTGTTACAGTTCGCCATGGAAAATCACCATGCTATTAATAGGTAAACCATCTATTTCTATGGACCATTAAAAATGATGTAATTACCATAGAAATAGATGGTTTACCGTTCTGAATAGCTTGGTGATTTTCCAATATTTTCCATGGCGAACTGTAACAAATAACCAGAGGGTAGTAGATGCAGGGGTTTGTGTATACCTGCGAGCCGAGAAAATCTTCCAGGAAAAAAAAGAACGGCCACTTCTCCATGGGCTTTTTTTGGTGCAAAAGATGAGCGGGCTGTCCATGAGGTGTTCCGCCTCATCATGAATCTCACACCGAACGGCACCATGGAGGCGATCAAAGGCGACGTGACGCCACCCATGTGGAGCCGAAAAATGACGTCCGTCCCGTCGGACTGGTGGAAGTTCTTAGCCGATCAAAGGCGACGCGTCGATCAATGCCTTCCTGCACACGCCCATGGGATTCGCTAATTTCCAGCATGAAATTGGTGATTTCCATGGCTATTTCTAGGTCCATCTTAGATGGGTAGAAACAAATCCTTTAGTCTTTTGGTATCAATAGGATCGTTCATCAGCTAAGAATTTGTCATTTTTTTGCAGGGTATCTAAGATTGGCCGTGTTACAACTATAGTTCACATCATTAAGATATGGTAGTATATAACTATAGTTCACGTTTACAAGTGTATGGTTATCATATATTGCTAGATGTATAACAGTACCAAAATGGGTTTGTCTGAGAATAGGGTTATAGCCTCCAAATGTTCACTTTAAAAAGGGGTAATGATAATAACCCATTGGAATTGAAAATAATTTGATGTACCCTATGTTCAGACAAACTCAAATATAAAACCGTTGGTTATATCATAATGGGTATGGTTACAAGGTATCTAAGATTGGCCATGGATTTTTCCACTAACCATGTTCCTAAATCCCGTTAAAACATATCATTTTGGTTGGTTAAATCATCAGTTGAACATGGTTATTTTCCCACCAGCCATGACAGCGCCAGAGCGCGAGAGCGCGTGCCTTGACAGGTGGTGACTTGGGGCGACAGCGCCAGGGGTGGAGACTCAAGTCTGGTGCGTGGGCAGCTGGTGAAAGTGCAACAGATCCAGGCGATGGAGGGTTGGGAAAATACGGGGATTTTATGGGACTTATATAACGGGATTTTATGGGATATATATATATATAGTTGGATTTCATGGGATTTCATGGGATTTTAATAAGATTTAATGGGATTTCAATGGGATTTAGCTTCTGGTTTTCTCAAGCATGGCCATGGGAAGTCCCCTAACAGCGATGAGCCACCAAGGTTGCGGTGGAACTCAGAACTGGGATGCAAAATTGATGATTGAAACACTATTGTGATTGAATAGGACAGTTTATTCTGGTATCATCCAAGAAATCGATTCTGGTATATCCAAAAATATATGGTATTATGCAATAAACTAATGTCAAATTGAATTTGATGATTGACTCCTCGTTTTAATATTAGTACTATTGGCAGTGAATTTTCATGACTCCTAGTTTAAGGAGTCTAAAAACTTCTATTAACTTCTAGTGAGTTTCATATGTTGTTTAAACCTAAGTTCTAGTGAGTTCATATAGATAGTTTGTAATAGTTTGATGTTTAGTTTACAGTTTACATATCTAATTTATGTCAAAATATTAGACGTTTGACGTTTGATGATTTGATATTAAGAGACACTATCTAAACCTAGAATACCTCAAACACTATAGTGGAATATAGTGGGATGTGTCATTTCGATGCAACGTGAATATCCCAAGTTAATATCCGACTTCCATTGATGATATGTGAGATAAATATGTGGTTAAAACAACAAATGACATATCATAAACTGCATTATTATCTTACCATTGTTAATAGTAGATTTACTAAACTTAATAAATTACAGTATTGTTGGATGGTGTTTCATCATTAAACATATATGCACATTGTATCCTTGTTATGGTCTGGTTGCTATTGGATTAGAATTATCCACAGATTTCCTACTATTGGTGGTTAGATCACTATTATATCCAGTATTATCCCATGACATCCCAATCATATCCCCAACATAATTCCATAAAATCCTTGTTTTGTTATTACCAGAGTTATATAAACTCAATAGTAGGTATCATGATGGGTGATGAATAGGACAGTCCCAACATATTGATATTGTGAAAGTTACTGGTTAGATCATCCCAATGATATCCCTGTAAATCCCTATCGTTGTTGGTTAAACGACCAAAGAAACAAAAGACCTCGGAGCGCCAGATTGGAACCAAGGCTGCACTTGTTTCACCACAGAAAATGGCAACAGTTCCGCTATGATCCCATGATTATCCAACTTAAATCCACACTAGATCCCATTGAATCCTCGTGTTTGGTGAATTAAGTATCTCAAAATCCCATTGAATTCAAATATTATTCCATTAAGTCCCATTCTTATCCTATGAAATCTATCATTTTGGTTGGTTCAATCTGCTGGGGAAAAAAAAACACATCCCACGTTACAAGAAGTATTGATTGGTTAGAAACTACTTAGCATATGGTTCACAACGTTAACATACACTTAGTTAACAACGAATCTCCGGCACCGGGGCAGGCCTCCACGTCCGCCTTCGCGGCTCTTCGCGCCGATGGCGTCATCATCGCCTGGGGCGCGCCGGATTGTGGAGGCCACTTCCGTGGCGTGGACACAGTGGGGAAGGGTGCCGTTGGTGAATGGTTTATAGGAAAACATTAGAACATATAAAATATTGTTTTGTTTTGTGTTATTTGTAAGGATTGTGATATCTAAGATTTGCTTAGAAGTTGTTTCTAAGTTGTCTTTTTAGTGGTTGAAGGTTGGTTTATCAGCAGGGTTTGGTGCCTGAAAATGTGGGATTTAGTCCGATTGATGGCAAATAATATGAGGAAACTGAAGTTTTAAACTTTTAAACCTTAGATTTTTTGGTGACATTTCAGACAACCCCACAATGAACATTGGGATGTAATGCTGGACATATGTGGGACTTGAAACAATTTCAAGGCGGAGGATCGTTTTTTTTCCGGTCCCTGATTACAGATGATTTCTAAAAGAAGGTCCCTACAATGTGAGGCCCCATAGATAGCTAAGTTTGTTTATAAGTCCAATAACTATGGTTTATGTGTTTTTTAAACTATAGTCAATGTTGTTTGTAAGCCAACATATAACTAGGGGGGCCCACATTGTAGTTAGCCTAGTTGTAAACCAACTTACCTATCTTAGGCCCCCCTTTTGTTGGAAGGGGATAATTTTTAATGATCGATATAGTTGGCCAAAGTTGCGAAATCCTAGGTGAACACCTACAAGGAATAAACACTGAAGATCAAAATCCTACAAGGTGGTGCCCCACAGTTAGCTAAGCTGGTAAACACTTTATGATACATACAATGTGGTGCCCCATAGATAGCTAAGTTAGTTTATAAGTTCAATAACTATGGTTTATGATACTTATAACTATAGTCAATGGTGTTTATATGCCAACTTATAACTGGGGGGCACCACTTTATATATATATATATTTATATATCTAGTTAAAGGGGGTTATAAACCGACTTATAACTTGGGGGGCACCACCTTGCAGATTTCTGGTTGCACACGGACCCAGGTAGTTAACCGATATATCATTGGGTTGTGATGTTCAAGTATTTGTTGACAATTCCATTTCCCTAAACAAATCCCAGAAGTGTGATGATGGTCCCCCAGGACTTGTTTTTGCATTGGCTTATCTACCAGCATTAGTGCCCTGTGAAGAACCAGAGCGCCAAGGAAATGCTGGGCCAAGTGACACTTTTGTCAGTGATTTTTCCCGCGTCTGAGGACACTACTTGGGGACTTGGGGGTGCAGTTCCACAATGTGGGGCCCCCGTTTGATAGCGTTCAGTTGGGCCAAATAACTACAATAACTAGGGTTTGTGGCAGTTACAACTATAGTTAGGTTAGATGGGGTTATAAACCAACTTATAACTAGGGTGCTCCACATTTTGGAACTAAGTGGATATACAGAGTAACCATGCCCAGTATTTCTAATGCACCAGTTGAGTCTTTCAAAGGAGGCATTGTCGTGGCTCACATGTTCAAACTCGAATTCACTTATGAGATTTCCGAGGAAAAAATACACACAAATTGAACCTTGCATGAAATATACAGGTATGTACAATCATGATTTCTCCTTCCCCCAAAACTCTAGGACCGACTTGCACGCTTCCATTAATGGTAAGCCTCAGAATTGACCGAGTCGTCGTTGGCGGAAGCGCCACTGTACATAAACTGGGCAACCAGTGGGGCGACTAAAAAATCAGGGCTTGGTGAGACCGAGCTTTGACTTTTGCACAAGAAACATGTTGAAAACAAGTGAAGGGTGGATTGTAAGGAGCGCACAGTGACGTTAATGATGGTTGATTCGTAAGGGGAATCATCAGATATCTTTAGGTTCGGGAGTTCGAGTTCTTACAATTCAGCCAGATGTTCAAAGCTGGGGGTGTATGTCTTAATAAGAGGGGGGACATCCACAAAATGGACAGATTGGTGGGAAAAGTTATTCGATTTTGGGGTACCAAATTTTCGGACAAATTCGGACTGTAACTATGCTAGGCTGTTGACGAAGCAAAAGACGGGGATGACACCAGAGTTGTGGACATGTGACATGACTCCTCTGAGTATGGTACTTCGTTGGTTGGAGATTAGTTTGAGTTTGCCCAATCACTGCACTCGTATCGACAATCACATTGACCCTATCCTATGATGTTTATACTGTTTCATCGTATGATAATTTATGATCAAGAATTATGATCAATTCTGGATGTTCCTTTTGTATTTGAACCTGATTCGTCTAATGACTGCACCTCCCGGATTTAGGCCAAAATCATCCAAAATGTAGAAGAAACCCACCATTTGATCCCACAATTTGGTTCATCAAACCCAAGCTTTATATGCAACAGCGTCCTACCGGCTGTATTTGCTCTGATCGATTGAATCGACCGGGGAAGTCTGCTTTTCAAGCAATGGTTCAAAAAAGCAGAGGAGAATACAGGAAGCGCCACAAGGACAATTACCTTGAAGAACCTCCCAAAAAAAGGTGAGTTCAACAAGCAACCCTACTGCCGAATGTTTCATCAACCAGAGAGCTCATGAATTAGAAATTTTATATATTATAGCAACCCCCAAAGACAGATAATCAAAATCCTACAAAATCCTATATATTCTCATTCTTAGAGATTCAATTCACATGTTTGACGGCCAAATCACTATTTTCCCATATGTTTGATGGTTATATCCCCTACAATGTGGGGCCCCCCAGTTATGTTTGTTGGCTATAAACACCATTGACTATAGTTATAAGTATCATAAACCATAGTTATGGAACTTATAAACTAACTTAGCTATCTATGGGACACCACATTGTATGAAATCCCCTATTGGGCATAGTCTTCCCCATATGTTTGATGGTTATTTGGAGGATCATCCCACTTAGCGGTTTGTCAAACCCGCGCTAGGTCCCTATTGGTTGTCCCATAGAATAATGTTATAACGGTTGCTAAGCCCTAACCGTTTAGAAGAACCGTGGTACAATCCCAAGTAATTAATTACCCAACTTTATAGTTGTAAGTTGCAAGCCATATATATATATATATATCTGTTTGGTGGTTTCAAACATTTTTCCCATAATATGGGATAATCCATTGACTAATACTATTATTCAAGATGGTTAAAACCACCAACCAGATGTATATATATATATATACATATGGTATAACCCACTATCATATAGTATAAATGTGTACATATTCAGGACTTTACCTCATTCTGCCAGTGGACCGAGGCCACAGGGATCCGCCCTTCGTCCTCCACCTTCCGCGCGCGCGTGCGCGTGAAGTGTTTGCTGATTGGTGCACACGACCAGGCGTGACGATGCCGTGGCTATGACGGAAACAATGGGAAAATGAGCTTTTAATCCACTGTATATGTATATACATGTGTATATATATATATATACATACATACACTTAATTATATATATATATACCTAGAATATATATATATATATATGCATAGAATCCCGTGGTTGGTTATTCAATCCCATTGTCTCCCCATCATGATGTGCTACCCCATATTTGTGCTGGTTGCCGCCCTGTTTCTTACAGTTTGCAAGTAATGTGTTCAGCATTTTTCTCGTTGAAACGAGAGTTTGCTTAAAATCCTCATCTGAATCGATGATTGTTGTTGTTTAAATCATCTCAAATCTACATATATGTTTGTTGGTTAAATTCCAACCTTAAATACAATTCTCAATTATCAATCCTTAGAAAACCCCAGAATTTCTACGAAATACCTAGAAATCCCACTAAATCCCCAGAAAATCACCAGAAATTCCTCCAAATCCTTGGAACATCCCAAACAAATCCACCAAATCCCTAGAAAACCCTGCAAAAATCCACAAACCCCTGTGAAATCATCAGACTTTCCACCAAATCTGCAGAATTTCAAACAAATCCACTAGAAAATCACCACACATTCCACTAAATCCCTCGAACAACTCCGCAGAACTTCCAGGAGTTCTTTAGCACCTGGGCGGAATCCGCGTTTTCGGCGACCACTGGGCAGCAACCGCCCAGTGCTCCTGTTTCTCGGTTAAAAAAAACATACGGTCCAATATAATGAGATTGTATAGCTGATTTATGTCTTTGCTGGTTGGTGGTTTGGGACCATGGAATTTTATAATCATGGTATCACAATGAATCATTGTAATGTCATGGATAGTTATAGGATTACTATAGTAATGACTGAATTACCTATAATGATAATCTGGTTGGTGGTTTGGAACATTTTTGTTTTTCCATTCAGTTGGGAATAATAACCTCAACTGACTAATATTTTTAAAAGAGGGGTTGAAACCACCCACCAGTAATGGGATTGTATAGCGGCTTTATGACTTATGACTTATGATAGCTAAGTTAAGGCAAATAACTCTAACGTCACAGTTTGGGTTTATGGGGAATATAATTCGCATAGTTACTACAATGTGGGGCCCGCTAATTATGTTTGTTGGTGTTGTTAGTTTATAACCTCATCTCACTAGTTCGGTACAACTACCATAAACCCTAGTGACATTGTAGTTCTGAAGCAACTTAGCTATCTTGGGGGCCCCTCATTGTAACACTTGTAAACGGAATTATAATTCCTATAAGGGAACATTATATATATATATCTCTATATCATGATAAACCCATTTATAACTGTTAGTTGGGCCAGAACTGTAAGAACCATATGGAGGTTTCCTGGAATGCGGGGGTACCCCAAAAGATTCTAGTCATTTCTTGGGGCCCACCGGCCCAGCCCCATTTATGGAAACCGCCATATGGTACTGGGTCAACTGGTGCATCCGGGGAATGGGAATACACAAAGCATTGGTACTTGGTGGCGAATTACTCAGGGATCGCAAGTAGGTTATAACATGTTGAAGCTGGTTGGTGGTTTGGAACCATGGATTTTTATGACTTTCCATATATTGGGAAGAATCATCCCAACTGACTAATATTTTTCAGAGGGGTTGAAACCACCAACCAGGAAGAAAAAACCCTAGTTGTAGGTAGATTGACCCTATAAAAAATCCCGCTAACAACACTATATAAGCATATGAGCTACAGCCAAAATTTAGGTTAATGGAGACTATAATATTCGAGACATCTTCATTTCTGGAAAATTGAGGTGGGGCGCTTGAAAAACGATAATGCACTCTTCAAAAAACGATAACATTTGCTTATATACCAAAACCTCAAAAACGACAATACACTCTTCAACAATTGATGACTTGGAGCTATATACCAAATATTGACCGTGGCCCGTATATATTTATATACATATATGATATATGTATATACATACATACATACATACATACATGCATACATACATACATGCATACATACATACATACATACATACATACATACATACATACATACATACATACATATATATATATACACATATATATATATATATACAAATATATATATATAAACTACTTAGGATTCGTGGGTAGTTCGCCACCTTCATCCCATATCTTGACCATGGCAACTGATGAACTGGGATGCGAGTCTTCAAACCAGTTAGTAAGGGATTAAGAACCAGATAACCGAGTTGCATGTGGAACATCACCAGGCTTATCATCTGTGTATATAACTATATTTGCAATATATATATATATATTTATATTTACACGTTATATCACCACTTACATACATATGGAATATCACCCGTTGTACTGTAAATCATTCACCAACAGTGATGCACATCGCTGACATCTGTTTTTGAGCCGCCTGTTCTTTTTTTTCCGGCCACAGCGTACAGCTTGATTAAGTTTGGGTTCTCTTGAGCACAGATGAAAATCCAAAATAATCCATACACATCGTGTAAGCATATGGAGTTGTCTTAAAAATAGCGTACCCCGAAATCCATTGGTTGCTCACTATATATAAACTGGCCATTTGGGGGTTTTGCCCAATGTTCAGACATGCCCAGATGGAATATGTGTCCACCAATTGAAAAATTACTCTGAAAACGTACAGAAGGATTTCGCATGACGTTGTTGGAGCAGTCCCTGCAGTTGGACCTTGTCAGCCACCCAAAATGGATGATATATACTGATAGAACTGATGACTCGTGATCAATTTTATGGGTCCATTGATGCCCCGTTTTTTCCGATGTTTGAAACCTCAAAAGACATTCCTGGTTTTGGTTTTTATGTTCTGAGCAAGAGAGTTTAACCGCCTTGCAATGTCGAGCAGCCTTGGTTATGTTGCCGCGCCTGATGCCGACCAGGGTGAACAACTGGGTCGACCTGCCCTGGTTGAGCTCCACATTTGTCATAGAATGGTTAGGGGGGGGAGGCAGTTGGCCGTGGGCAAGTGTTGAGAAAATGGCTTTGAGGTACGGTTGAGGTGTGGCTGAGGTACGGTTGAGTCAGTGATATACGTTTGAGTATCAGTTGAGTATGCGTTGAGTATACGTTGAGTACCAGTTAAGCCGCAGCTGAGTGTGGGCTGAGCCTACGCTGAGCCTCAGTTGAGGTTCGTTTTTTTTCTTTGAGTTACGGTTGAGGTTTTTTACGGTTTGAGGTCCGGTTGAGGCAAGAGTGCTTACTCAAAACTACCTCAATCTATCGTTTTTATGGTTTGAGTAGGATTTGAGTGGATTTTGAGCAGGATTTGAGTGGATTTTGAGTGGATTTTGAGTGGATTTGAGTGGATTTTGAGTGGATTTTGAGTGAACATAGCAACTCAGATCCTATTCAAACTGACCTCGACAGTTGCCCCCGGTCCA